CACACGTGTAAAATAAAATTTTATATATAAAATGTTATATAATAAAATTATATATATAATAAAATTTTAAACAACCCACAGGAAGAATTCTTGTAATTAATTTCAGAATCTTATTTCAAGTCCTTCTGGCCACTTAGTCCATTTATAACTTTCCAAAATCAACATTCTAATCACCCTTTTGCTGTTTGTCAAAAATAAGATTTTTTAAGTCCTTAAACTTGCATGAAATTTCTTTTGTCAAGGATAGAAAGAAACCCTGTGTAATGAAACTTGCCTTTCTGAAGGTTCTTAATATTCAAAAAGCCATTAACAAGCAATTTCCAAAAGTGATTAAGAAAGTATGCAAACCCTATGTCCTTTTGAAGGCTCCCAACTGCAGCTTGGGCAGATACGACTTTCCCCTGGGTCCCAGAATCTAAAACCCACCAGAGACCGCTGTCTTACAGTCTTCTTATGGGGAGCCACTGTATGGAGTGTTTGTGGGCAATCCTGGTCCTCTCCTTGCTTCAGAGAGGGATTCTGAGGAGCTGATCCACTTGCCAGCTCCACCACGGTTGTCGGCTCCATGAGACTTAAGCCCATCATTGCTTCCCCAGAAGTCTCACCTAATAAATAATCTTAGGAGTTGGAAGGGAATTTAGAGAACATCACTCCACTACCGGATGTGCAGTTCATACATGCAGGAGCTCCTGCTCAGTTTTTACCCAGTGATTCTGGTCCTGCCTTTGGAATTAGCAAATAAGTAGGAGAGAAAGGGATTAGAGAGGAATTAGGGAATAACTCCACTCCCTCTTCTGTGCTTGAAGACTGCTATTGTGTCTCCCCTCAGTTGTCTTTTCTGTAGTTAAACATAACAAATCCTTTAGCTCTTCCCAATAGGAATTGGTTTCCAGGCCCTTCACCTTCTTGATAGCCCTCCTCTGAACTTGCTCAAATTTGTCCCTGTCTTTTTTGAACTGTGGGGCCCAGAACTGGACTTGGGAATCCAGATGGGGTTTATCAAGGGCAGAGTAGAGGGGAACATTTACTTCTTGTGCTCTGGATTCTGTGCTCCAGTTAATCTACCCCAAGATTTATATACTGTTTTAGCTTACTTGGAGAAATAGAAGAGTGAGAGGTAGGCCTTGGCATGTCGTGTATTAATGCAGTATCTGATGAAATGTAATGGCTGGTTCACTTATAAGTTTAGGTCAGAGTTGCTGGGAGTTGGTGGCATATAAAATTAATAAAGTATTATTATTATTAATTATATTATTATTATGTCAGAATTTAAGTGCTATGGAGACAGACTTTTATCAGCCAAAGGGAAGCTTCAGGCTCTCACATTACAGGTAGCCCTCGGTTAACAACTGTTTGTTCAGTGATCGTTCGAAGTTATGATGGTGCTGAATGAGGAGACTTATGGTCGGTCCTCCAAGTTGCAGCCATTGCAGCATTGGCATGGTCACATGATTTGGGCGCTTGGCAACCAGCTGGCAATTACAGTGGTTGCAGTGTCCCACGGTCATTTGATCACCATTTATAACCTTCACTGCCAGCTTCCAACAGGAATAGTCAGTGGGGAAGCCGGCAGGAGGTCACAAATGGTGATCATGTGACATTGCGTGTAATGATCACGTGGGATTCTCCTAACAACTGCAACTAGAACTGCTATAACTGCCATTATAAGTTGGCACGGTCATGTGACATTGCACTTTACAACCGTGTTGCTTAGCGATGGAGTTCCTGGTCCCAGTTACCTCCGTTAACTGAGGACTACCTGTATATTCCTATCCTCCTTTTTCTGTGATGCACAAACTGG